CTTATTCAACTCTCGTGAATAGGATCCCTGATATTTCTCAATTGTTTTTGGAGTAACAAGGCTCTGCATCACTCTTATGTCTTATGTCACAAAAGGATAAAAAGTAGCATATTGTGACATGTACCAATACACACAGCGCTATCTATACTAATACTTTTGTTTTCCCTCAGGAATATCACATTTTTCCGGGATAAAAAGTACCATATTAGGTATTTAATCCGGACTTCTAACTTTACATCTGTAAAAATTCAAAGCAATCGGTTTAGTAGTTACGGCGTGAAAGCGGAACAAACAAACAAACTTACTTACCGATTTATAATATTAGTAAGGATACATGTCAAGAGATATACAAATTTTTGAAAAATATCTTTTTTTTTAAAAAAAAAACGTTGCCCCACACTAGGATTTTCTCCTGTGTCGTGAGTGCATTTACAAACATACAAGTTCACATACACAATGACACCCAGACCCGAAACAACAATTTGTGGATCACACTAAGTGTTGTTCCGTGCGGGAATCGAACCCGCGACACGTTGCACGGCAGCCGGTTGCCCAGCCAGGATTGGTTACAAATAGCTCAAGGGTAAGAAACAAAAGCAAAGGACAATGCCAGGTACTCAGTACATCTTTGACCCACTATATTAGAAGTCATGTACAAGTATGCAGTATTCAGCATCGTGTAGTGTATTAATTACCGATACTTAGACATTTGTCCTGAAACCTGTAAAACTTGCGGTTTTTGTTTAAAACACAAAACAATAATGATAACTATCGCGAAAACAACGGAAACGCAGAGAGCGAATGAAAGATAATATTGACACTGACAGCTGACAACTGAAAGCGCTTTAAAACGTTTCGTTACACAAAAAAAAATTATAACTAATGATAGTAATCGTTTCTTTTATAAAATACGATCGTTTTCCAAGTGATGAACGAACGGTCCTCTAATTTTTTAGTTGCAAACATTTTGTCAAGCAACTGGAATCGTGTAATATAATTATGAATGGTTCTTCTGTACCGTGATTAGGGTCGTGAACTTCACGCATGCGCGGTGCATACTTTTGGTACATTACTTTTGTGACGTCACAACTAGCAACCAAGATTTAAGGAATAGTAGCGCATGCGTGGTGCGTGCAGGGCGCATTCATTGCTTTACAAAGGCGCGTATTTATGTTAGCCGTTTTTTTTACAAACTTTTATTATATTATTGAATTTTAATAAACGCGTTTGTATATTTTATGTATGTTATATATTCACGATATTTATAGGTAGGCAAAGCCTTTTCGCCTATATGGACTGCACGCCACTGCATGATATACAATAATAAAAAAATAAATAAATATACACAACATAAAATTAACTTCAACTAATGGAGAAAATGAAATAAAAGAAAACTAAAAAAACTAACTAAAAATATATTATGTTTTCATGTCAGCTACAGTAAACAGCATCCTAAAAGTTACATTCATTACAAAAAATAATAATCTTATTTATATTTACATAATTTCAACAGCCGTCATCGAACCTATAGTAGAGCTAGCAAAATTTTTCTTTGTGACGGCTGAGACAAACGTATCTAATGTAAGTATGAGTCTGTGTGAGATTTGTAATATTAACTTTATACAGGTGTTTGGCGCGTGGACCACCACAATTTTATTCAGGAATTCGAAAGGTACCCAAAAACCCTTTGTCTCAAGAGTCACGGTTGGTCACGTGATTAATTTTGATTATAATATAGGTAAAAATTCTATGCCCAAACCCATAATGATCACAGGAATAATCTGTAATGAAATTTATCAGCTCAATAAATGATGGTATCTGTAAGGCTTTTGTTTTTGATTTTGTTATGGGCTTGTAACAGAGAACATACCTGCATGTAACTGATAATAGTTATTTTTTGCTTTTGAAGGTTTTTAAAGTCGACTTCTTATAATAACTGGTTCTTTAGTTGTGTGTTGTAAAAACACGGGTGCGGCAAAGTAATAATCTGCACTAAGTAAAACACGACCAAATGAATAATAACTGAATGATGAGTCCAACATGTTTAGCAACATGATAATGTCATGTCGCGTGCAAAGTGTTAGTACCTAGTGGATACGGAGATTTTAGGTGTGCTTTGTAACCTGATTGGAAAAGAGTACCTAACCTATGGAGTTTCTTGCTCGTTCTTCTCCATAGGAATCTACACCTTGGAATGAGCAAATAGCTTCATTTATGAAATATTGTTGACGTTCAAAACTGCCTTTCTGCCTTTCACGCTTTACCTTGCATTGGACCATATATGACTGTGCGCTGCGCACTCTTCGCGCTCTACCTCAAAAACGGTTGATCGTACTAAAAAAACACAAACAAAAATTGTAGAGAATTTTATATTCTACAACTTTTATTATAGGTAAAAATATCATTTAAGCAATAGAAAGCGAGATATTCACGAAAAACCAGTTTTTATGACCTTTGACCTTCAATATCTTAAGACGCGGACACGGTATCATTTGTGACTTCTGAGACAACATTTAGAACGACAAAACAAAGGTTTATACCAATTTATAGCTTATTATCTTTCATTCCGAGGTTGACCCCTAAAATGACTGGGCTAAGAAGCCATTGTAACTTAAAGACTTGCATTTTTTTATATATTTTTCTGATAACACTTGAACCTCGCCGATCACCTGGTGCCATTTGATCGTCCACTTCAAGGACACCTGTATATGAAACCAACCGATATTTGGGACGCAGGGTTTTCGGGTGAAAAGAACTACCGATTTCCCAAATTCCTGAAAAAATTGTGTCGGTGTACATTACAAGTTTTCATTAATATTTTAACAATATTCTGTGACTAAGATTTGACTCCAAGAGGTTTGGTTTATTAGCTCAGCTGCTACATGCAACTTGAAGTAAGTATCACCATTTCTTACGGATTATAAGTCGGAAAACGAGCAGTCGGATGACCTAACGGAAAGCAATCGGTGCCGGCTATGGACAGCCGCGAGTGCCTCGACACCAGAGGAGTTACAAGTGCGTTGCCAGTCTTTTGGGGATTTGGAAATCGTGGAGGAGGAAACCTCACTCACATACGGCGAAATAACGCAAGTGACGTTATACCAGTTTTCTTTGAGAGCCTTAACATTCCAACGTAATCACTACATAGTATAAAACAAAGTCACAATCCGCCGTCTGTATGCTTAGATCTTTAAAACTACGCAACGGATTTTGATGCGGTTTCTTTTAATAGATATAGTGATTCTTAAGGCCGGGGTGGGTCGCTAGTTAGGTATAATTAAAAAGGTAGGTAAAGCTGTTGGGTTTCGTATAGTTAAGCCGGGATTACTGATGCTTAACGCCTTTATTTTAGGAGTAGGGAGGTTCCCCGAGCGATATGACTTACTTAAAGTATCGCTGCTAGCAAGGGTAGCTCGCCGCCCGACCATAACCAAACCCGTGCGTACTGAAAGAGACATATCAGACCATCACAGGTCCAGTAGGGCTGATGCCCAATACGGAGCTGCAGACCACCTAACGGGTTACCGGACTTCCGGCTCAGAGAAAGACTAAGAACGGAGTAGTTTTTAGTCAGTAAGAGTACGACGCTCCCTTTCACTACACTCAAAGCGGTAGAAGTCAGTGAATGATTTCGCCCCCTAACGAAGGCTCACAGAAAACCGGCGTAAAATAACATCCGCGTTGTTTCGTTGTGGAATTATGTTACCGATGCAATCCCGGTCCTCCCCTTCTCCTATCCCCAAATTCCTAATACTCGACTCCCTTGCCCAAAAAGCTGGCAACTCACCGATAACCCTTCCGCTGTAGCAGATACCCATGGGCGGCACAGATTGCTTGCGATCAGCTGCTCGGTCTACTCGTTTGCCTATACCATAAAAAAGTCAGAAAAAGAACCGACCGCTCGGTTTCTTACTAGGTACTTAGGTATTTCTAACAAGTTGTTAACAAATGAATAGTCATTTACTGATTATAGGATCAGTGCGGACGATAAGTTGCTTTTTTATAACTGGGTACTTGGCTAGTCAGTCATGCATGATGCAATGCAATGCAGTATCGACTTCGACACGAGCAGGCGTCTGTAAGTGATGCACGGGCGGCGTCGGCGCCGGCAGGTCGGCGGCGTGAAGCGCGTCCGTCACGTACTTGCGAGTACGGCGCCGGCAGGTCGGCGGCGTGAAGCGCGTCCGTCACGTACTTGCGAGTACGGCGCCGGCAGGTCGGCGGCGTGAGGCGCGTCCGTCACGTACTTGCGAGTGCGGCGCCGGCAGGTCGGCGGCGTGAAGCGCGTCCGTCACGTACTTGCGAGTACGGCGCCGGCAGGTCGGCGGCGTGAGGCGCGTCCGTCACGTACTTGCGAGTGCGGCGCCGGCAGGTCGGCGGCATGAAGCGCGTCCGTCACGTACTTGCGAGTACGGCGCCGGCAGGTCGGCGGCGTGAGGCGCGTCCGTCACGTACTTGCGAGTGCGGCGCCGGCAGGTCGGCGGCATGAAGCGCGTCCGTCACGTACTTGCGAGTACGGCGCCGGCAGGTCGGCGGCGTGAGGCGCGTCCGTCACGTACTTGCGAGTGCGGCGCCGGCAGGTCGGCGGCATGAAGCGCGTCCGTCACGTACTTGCGAGTACGGCGCCGGCAGGTCGGCGGCGTGAGGCGCGTCCGTCACGTACTTGCGAGTGCGGCGCCGGCAGGTCGGCGGCATGAAGCGCGTCCGTCACGTACTTGCGAGTACGGCGCCGGCAGGTCGGCGGCGTGAGGCGCGTCCGTCACGTACTTGCGAGTGCGGCGCCGGCAGGTCGGCGGCATGAAGCGCGTCCGTCACGTACTTGCGAGTACGGCGCCGGCAGGTCGGCGGCGTGAGGCGCGTCCGTCACGTACTTGCGAGTGCGGCGCCGGCAGGTCGGCGGCATGAAGCGCGTCCGTCACGTACTTGCGAGTACGGCGCCGGCAGGTCGGCGGCGTGAGGCGCGTCCGTCACGTACTTGCGAGTGCGGCGCCGGCAGGTCGGCGGCGCTGGCCGGGCGTGCCGAGCGCGCGGAACACGCGGAACAGCTGGTCGATCTCGCTGTCGCCCGGGAACAGCGTGCGCCCGCTAGCCTGCGCCAGGGAGACGCGTCTCGTCAGGCATCGCGTACGCTCCGCCAGTCGCTACGACTGACGAAATGCATATTATAACGTAAGGCTGCGTAATATAAACAAGAATGATTACCATCTCTGCGAAGATGCAGGCGAGGCTCCAGACGTCGACGGCGGTGGAGTAGAACTTGGCGCCGAGCAGTATCTCAGGCGCGCGGTACCACAGCGTGACGACCTCGTGCGTGTAGGCGCGCACGGGGATGCCGAAGGCGCGCGCCAGGCCGAAGTCGGCGAGCTTGATGTGTCCGTCGGCGTCCACCAGCAAGTTCTGCGGCTTGAGGTCGCGGTGCAGCACGCGCGCGGCGTGGCAGTACGCCACGCCCTCCAACAACTGCCGCAGGTAGCTCTGCACACACACGCCTACACTCAGCACGGGCCCGCACTTACACCCCGCTCGCCCTGGCTACGGACTGACCTTCACGAGATCCGGGCGAAGTGGTCCCTTGGTGATATCCATGAGTCGCTTTAGATCCATGTGAAGAAATTCAAAGACCAGAAACAGTTTGCTGTCGGCGAGCAGTACGTCGAGCAGGCGCACGACGGCGGGGTGGCGCAGCTCGCGCAGCACTGAGATCTCTCGCAGCGCCGTCGACGGAACGCCCTCCGGCTCACTGGGACAACATAATTATTAATACATGCAAATGTAAGAAAAAAAATATATATATATCATTGTTACATGTTCAGTAGGAGTAACATGTCCAACAGTTATAGTGTTGTTGCTAAGCTAATTGAATCTTCTTTACAATCACCGTCTTTGCTTGCCTGTGGAAACATCTCTTTGTTTTAAGACAACAATGTTTCTTAACTCGTCGAGTACCGGTTTTGTAGACACAATTATAGAACAATAGGTTGCGGTCACCGGTGACCGCTTGGTGTTTGACAGTTTAATCAGCATTTTATAGTCACAGTAATCTTTGCTCTTGCATGACATTCCCGAGATAGAAACTATTAAACAGTTATGTATGTTTGTAGCACCCACCACACAGGACAAGATCTATTTGGGTGGAGCAACATAATAAATATAAGGAACATATTGTTCAAGGCTTGTGGCAACAATTTCGAAACTATCAGTAGGTAGGTTGACGTTTCAGTTTAAATATTAGTGTTTGTGGTTGTTTCTAAAAATCTTAGTTTTACTGAAACTGAATGAAATTATTATAGTTTTGTAAGTAGAACGTAGTGGAAATCCATTCATAATGAAAATTAAGCATTGATTTAATCCATGAATAAGACAATAAACATATTTTACATATTACCTATTAAACTGTTTATTTTGACTAAATAAAGGAATACTAAAAGTGAGTTGTAACTCTGATAACTATGGTTAAAAAAAATGAACTTTCTCACGAGTCTAACAAACACTTTTCTGAAAACCACATCGAAATTGATTCGGCCATTCGCGAGCTAATAGAACACAATTATTAAGACAGAAAGAAAGAATTAGATCTCACAAAGTTAGATGCCTGCACTCGCTAGGACAATCCTGTATGATAGGCAAGAAAAGATCTTACTAGTCTTATCTTGTACTATTATTATAAATGTGATTGTGCGTTTGTTTCCCAAACAAGTTAAAATGACTGAGAGACTCAGGTTGAAATTTAAAACAGGGGTAGACATGGTCTGGAACAACAGGTAGTATACTTTTAAACCATGCGGTCCCACTGCGTCCAAAACCGCATCCAGAAGCTAGTATAAAAAAAAAGTATGAGGCAAATAGGCACTATAGGCAGCAAGTTGCTCACTACGATAATAGGTAATTTAACACTTTGATTCCGATGAAGGCAATCTATTTTTCTTGTGGCATCGAGCATTTCTTTCTTTATTTAAACAAGAGTTTATTTTTTATTTTTTTCTTGTATAGAAGCACTATTTTATATGGATTGTCAGTATACATATGTGAGGACCATGTCAGACTTAAGATATTTGTTTTCTCTTGGTTTTGTTTTTTTTCTATTTTAGTATGTTCTGTTATTTGTATGTTGCGTCAGGTATGTCTTTACATTATTCTAACATGTGTGTACAATATTGGGATATGTATCAGAGCAATGTAAAACAGACTTTTTTTAAAAGAGTAACAAATGGAGTTTCTTGCTCATTCTTCTCCACTCGAATCGACATTTTCGAACGAGCGCTAGGCCTAGCTTCACTGACGGACAGACTGACAGACTATTATATATCTCATATTTGTTGACGTTTCAAAAGTACCTAATTATGGTTTAATTGAAATAAATGCTTTTGAGTTTGAGTTAGAGTTTGATGACTTCATTTCATTAAGGAATCTCACTAACTCAGATAGGTCTAGTCCAACGCGTTCTGCCCACGACATGCTGCATCGTATATGTATTAACACTACATAAGTACTTATAATTAGCTAAAGTATCAAACGATAAAGCGACACGATGTCTTGTAAACACAAAGTTATCCCCGACGATGACACTTGTTTTTTATGGCGCCAAAACTTACTTCTCTAGTTTAATTTTCTTTAGTGCAATTTCATTTCCAGTTAATCTATCCTTTGCTTTGTAAACGACTCCATAAGTACCCTCACCAATTTTCTCTACTTTTGAAAAATTTTCCATCTAGGAACCATATATATTCAGCAATTTTCAAAGAAGAACGGATTATACAGTAAGCAGTTACAAACTTCTATTCTATGACTGAAATAGAAACCTGACAATGACACATGATATGTCAATAGTATCTGACAATGTGACGTTATTTCTAGATGGTGGTAGGCACAGATTATATAGTAGTCAAAGCGTGGTAGGTACAATACAACAACCATACGAACATAATACCTTCTCTTTTTAAACTTGATAAAAATACTAAATATCAAAACCCGGATGAGTACCTAGTATACTGTGTAGTACAATACTACCGAACTCAATATCATTCCAAACTAACCATACAATAAAATGGTCTATGGTATTATGAGTAAAATAAAGTAAAAAAAATAACGTATAATTCCCAGTGTAAGCCTACCGGCTTTCATATCTTCCGCCCATGGTACTGAAGAATTAACCAGGAAAATTCTTTCTCAATCACTGGTTAATTTTGATGTACCATGTTTAATGGAAGCTGTGAATGCTTGGAAAATCGCTTGTAAGTCCAAAAATATTGACCCCCCCCGTCAAATCACTCTCTCAGAGACAATGGGACGAGTCGCTATGCAGAAAAGTGAGCGAAAATCTCTTAAACTCCTCTGGTTCAACTGCAGAGAGAGCTCGCCTTTAGGCTGTGGGTGAGTGGGAGTCGGGGTTATGGCTTCTTGCTTTACTTACGTCTAACCTAGGTACTTTGTTGGACGACACCACGTTCCGCGCTGCAATTTGTTTAAGGCTTGGAGATTCATTTTGTTCACCTCATCGTTGTCGTTGTGGTGAAGATATCAACAGTCTTAGACACCACGGCTTGTCATGTAGCCGTAGTGCGGGCCGTTTTGCTCGACCCGCAAGTATTAATGACATAATTTGTCAAGCTCTTGCCTCTGTTGGCGTGCCAGCTACTTTAGAACCTAATGGCTTGGTACGCGACGATGGCAACAGACCAGACCCGGTATGTCATTATTCCCTTGGAAGATGGGTAGGGCTTTACTATGGGACGCCACTTGCGTTGATACTCTGGCGCCATCCCATCTTCCAAGCTCAGCGTGTTGAGTCGGTACTGCCGGTGCTGCTGCCGAGAACCTCAAACGGCGAAAGTATAATAGCCTGATTGGCAATTATGCTTTCGAACCGTTTGGAGTTGAAACTTTAGGGCAGTGGGGCCCAAGTGCACATTTTCTTTACAAAGATATTATAAGGAGCACGGTTGACACTTCAGGTGATCGAAGGGCTGGCTACTACCTTGGGCACCCTACCTCACGGTAGCGATGAGGAAAATGTTTTCTTTGATGCCCTAAGATATATATATGTATATATTTTTTAAGGTGTAAATATTTTAGTTTTAAATTATTTATATTTTAAGCTGTATATATTAATAATCTCATAATCTCTATATTTAATTTCCTGGTCCATATGAAAAAAAAAATATGAGTAAAGAGTATAATAGAAAATAGAGCGATATTAGTTATGAGTATACGAAATCTTTTTTCGTTATCTGTGTAAGGCGAAAGCGAAAAGCGAAAAGTATCAAATAAAGTAACCCAAACTGCAAACAAAGATTTCGGTTTTTTTAACTACATGCCTACTTTAATTGACTAAATAAAATACCTAAGTACCTATTATTAAGAATAATATGACATAAAATGGAACCGATAACGAATACTAAACATAAAAAGCGGAAAACACGTAAATGCTTAAACGAAATTAGAAAGAGATCTCTGCGTACAGGACACTTGTTTTTTGAAAAGGAAAAGGATAATATTTCTGATTTAATACCGAATTATAACAAATGTATCATAACAAATGAACGTTTATCTCTTAGTATGTTCCCAAAAACAGTTAGGTCGGAGACTATTACAAGACCTGTGCTGGCCGAACTAAAACAAAAACCCAATTTGAAGTTAGATGAATTGCGAAGTGGTAGTAAAGTTCTAGACACGCTAAATTCAACCGATGTTAAGTTGTCCAATTTTAGTGGATCTTTAAAAAACACCAATGATCACATTGAACGTTACAAAGTGGAAAATCCGATGTCATTAATATGTTCCATGGGGTCAAATAAATATGATAAGGATTCTTACGTTATCAATATGTGCAGCCAAGAAGACAAATTCAATAATACAAATGTTTGTTTTTTTATTGATCCTGATCAAAGATCTAATAAATCGTCAAGCAGCAAAGGAGTTCACTCAGGATCATCTCCTACGTCAACATCTAACCACAGATTCCATGACAGTTGTAAGTACGATTTATATGAAGAATTCATTTCTGAAATTCCTAAATATTTGAAACAATCTGTTAAAACTATGGAAGGAGACGTTATAAAAAACACTAAAGTGGTTCTAAAACAACTTTTTATTAGCGAATGCTGTTATCAGGAGAAGTACTACACCCCTAAAAAGGTTATTGTTCGCAATCCTATGGATTACATCAGACTAAGCCATGTACAACAACGGAGGTTGTTTCATCAATCATCAAGATCAAGGCGAACCTTCGATGAAATTGACAGTTTTCCTCACTCGCCTATTGTGGTCTCATCTTCACCAACAACCTCGCATCACTTCGCCTCGTCTCCAAACTCGCCGTTGAACGTAATTGTTAACACCACACCAGATTATTCTTTTTATCCTCATAGGTTGAACTGATATATATAGAAATAAACGGTTTCACTAATCAGGCAAGTCATTAATTCTTAATCCAGTATTTTGTAAAATCCTCAACATTTATTCATACAAAAGTAGTCTCCGGATAACCTAACGGGTTACCGGGGTTCCGGCTCGAAGCCCAGGAGAAGGAACGGCCCAATTTCCCCTATACCTGAATCCTCAACAATCCTTAAATTTCTAATCCCGAAACGGGTCAGTGGGTCATCTTAGGGGCAAGGAGTTTAAGTAGGACTTCTAAAAACTCTTATAAATGGCTAATTTTTTCATTTCCATCGCTTAGTAATCCATAATAATGCGAAAATCATTGGACACCTTTTGTCTAGGACTTCAGGTTCGCCTGAAAATCAATACATAGTATAAAACAAAGTCGCTTTCGCTGTATGTCCGTATGTATGCTTAGATCTTTAAAACTACGCAACGGATTTTGATGCGGTTTTTTTTAATAGATAGAGTGTTAAGGATGTATAATACATGCATATTGCACCCGTGCGAAGCCGGGGCGGGTCGCTAGTGAGCTCTAAAGGTCAGTTGTTTGGCGGAGTATGAAAAAAAGCGCTTTTCAGCGCTCAACGGCCGCTGCCGCGACACCGCTCGCTCGCCTCGCGCCTTGTGAGGGTCACAGTTCTAACCTAACCTAACCAAATGTGTCGGGGTGCCCAAAAAGTGTTTTTACATACTCCCCCAACTGACCTTTAGGGATTATTTTCAGGCGAACCTGAAGCTCTAGATAAAAAGTGCTCAGATTTTATTAACCTTATTTTTAGGTATAGGTAGGTACTAAACGATAGAAATGAAAAACCAGCCATTTATAAGAATTGATTCTCATTATTGATGAACAATTTTTTTAAGTCCTCGCGCCATAGCGTCCCTAAGGCTACATTCTAACCCCGAACAGGCCGGTAGCGCATTTGTGGCGCCTCTGGTATAACGGGTGTCCATGGGCGGCGCCGATTGCTTACCATATCAGGTGATCCGTACGCTCGTTTACGCCCTTATTACATAAAAAAATGGAGAGCGGTCACCGGTGACCGCTTGGGGACTCCGCAATTCTTAACTTCCTTTAACATTAGTTCGCTACATGCATGGTTGATATATAGCGCCTTTTGGATAAATCTCAATCTCAAAAAAAATTCAGAGACCTTACTTAGCACGAGTTGGTTTTACTCAGGCTGGTTCCAGTGAACCAAAACCAATCACAGCGCCGAACGCGTACCTACTCGTTTCGATTACTTTAAACTTAAAACAAACTCGTAGGTACTAAGTAGGTAAGGCCTTTGAAGACTTTGCTGGTGTAAGGTGGTGCATCGGGGAGATTAGAGAAACAACTTTATTGTTTGAAGTTACATTTAATACTCCTCTAAATATTGGATACAATCCGATATATATGGATTACACACTTAGATCTAGCAATGGCCATGTACACATACATACACAGTACACTGGGCACGACTTTTTCGGCGAACCTATGTAAGTAAAATTCTTCAATACCAGCCTGTTTTACGTGCAAGTCCGTTTGCGTAGATTTACGACTTAGTAATTTATAATGTTCAGTAAAGATGCAGCCTTCTAATGGCAATAGAATAATTATTTTTGAAATCGATTCCGTAGATTACGTGTGCAAACATTAATGACGCATACCTATACAAACACTCATGTTTCCTCTTAATAATATTAATAGGTAGGTATAGATACTTAGTACCTACAATAACTTTTTTTAATCGGAAAAAATCTACGTATGACTTGCCGCCTGGATGAGGCGGAAGGGAGTGTCACTCTCTAAAAACCACCTCGTTGCATCATGGCCCGGACTAGGGCCGGACGCGAGAGGTCGCCCTCGCCGATCATATCCCGCACGGCGGTGCTCAATCCGCGCAGTGTGTGTGTGCCACCGTATCCTCAGGAGTAGGTACAATAAGATTGATATAATAATTATTAAACGATTTTTTGGATTGCCCTTTTTGTTTCTTTGTTTGTACCCCTTCCTGACGACCATAAAATTTATACCATAGTACAACTACTTCCGTGGTCAAACGTTCTAGATTGGTAGAATGGTAGAAGAGTAGAATAGAGCTCTACTGAGGCCTTAGGTACTAGGTACGAGTTTATTTTACTTTCAAAATAATAGAAACGAGACCGATTGGTTGGCTGAACCAACCAATCACAGCGCCGAACGAACGCACTCTCGTTTTGATTACTTTAAAAGCAAAATAAACTCGTACTAAGTCCACAGAGTTATAGAAATACCATAACTCTGTTTATTTTATTATCATTATATTCTACTTAAAAGTATTTATGCCATGCCGCCGCGGCGTCAAATGTAAGGCTCCATACAAATCCTATCATGGGACTAGCACAGCGGTGTAAGCAGCCTTAGTAATACTTACAATGGAGGCAATTAAATTACAATACATATATTTTCTATATAGTCTATAATAGAAAGTGAATTTAATCAGTATTACAGAACAGATGCATTTTATATAATTAATGTTTTTATAAACCAATATTTTCTAACTGTGCAATCAAATCCATATGCTTGAATGTGTCTGGGTTCTTGGTGAAAGTGTTGAGTAGCTGTAACTTAGTAGTGTCTTTCCCACTATAATACATTTGAAACTGATTTGCTAGACATTGAGCTTCTTGACCATCTAACACATTCTGAAAAAGAAAGAGAAAGTTATTTTCAATAATTCACATAATATATTTACTCATTGATCTAAAACCATGTAACCTTACTTTAACTCATTGAGTACCGTCATTATAGACACCGCAACCTATTGTTCTTTAATTGTGTCTTTAATGACGGTACTCGGTGTTTGACAGTTTAAACTGTCCTAACTGTTAAACGGCTGCAATCACTGGTGACCGCAACCTATGTTCTTAAATAATGATGGTACTCGACGAGTTAAAAAATGGAAAACCAATGACATACATTGTTATGAATGTTATGAAGGCTTAAGTCTTTTGAATGGATAAGAATAATGACAAAAACAAGTGTGAGTTAGTTTACATAAGAAATGAGACCTTATCAAATTCACCACGCATGAGTATAAGTCCTTTGTCAGCAAGCTCTGTGTAGTGCACTATGGTGAGGCACTCGGGTGCATTCTCTTTATGTACCTGAAGAAATAACATACATATTATAGATGTATAGGTTATCTAGAACACTGTCCACCTTGCCACATCATTTGGAGCCTAAGTGTGTAACTAAATATCCTTTAACCCATGATAAGGCAGGAACGTAGATCTAAGCGAGACAAAATGAGATTTCTATTGAGTCTCATATATGTGAGAGCCATGCTGGAGCACGAATGGGCTGGCTCACATGAGTGATACCACAGCCTCACAGAAAACTTCATGAAGAAACACTTGCATTGTGTTTCATCTTGTGAAGGTGGATTTCTAAAGCCCAGTTACCTCCCCCCCCCTTTCCACAATGTCTCCAATACTGGAATCCTCAACAATCTTATTCCCCAAAAGGCCAGTAACACACTAGTAATGCCTTTGGTGTTTTAGGTGTTCTTCCATCTGCTCATTTCCTTAAGTTATCCCATAAAAAATCTGAACAGGTAATCTTTACATTTATAATTATTATTACTGCAGGTTAAAAGACTACAGACCTGATAAGCAAGTAAAGGTGTGAAATGTACTGTATGACCATGACTCTGGCACATAATGAACTCATAACCCTGAGACCTTGGCAGTGGGAACAGGAAAGTGGGACATTGTTGCATTTGTTGTTGCAGGCTGCTGTAAGTATCTTTTGGAATGGTTGCTGATATTACTTCTTTATTCTTGTGATATTCTTCCCAAATCTCTTGAATCTCTTTTGCATCTTTATCTTTAACAAGTTCTACTTTAAATATATCACTGAGTTTTTTGTCGTTTGAGTCAGAAACTTCCTTCAATGCTTCTTTAGGATTCAGTACAGAAGAAAATTGTCTGAAAAATAATAAAATTCAGCGTATTATGTTAGAGGTGCAAGCTAACAGTAACTCGGCGCAAAACCAAGCCGCGACATCCGATGTGCCCACCTCGTATCGACAGATGCAAACTTTTTTTTCTTCTCCTCTTCTTTAGATTGTTTCTGAAGTTCAACTCTTTGCATAAACTCTTCAGGTGAAGTTTTTTGTAAATCTGCGATACGCGCAGCATACTTCTCAAAGTATGGATTAGTTTTTAAATTTTCTAGAGCCTTATCCATATTTACTGATGAGGTTTTTAGGCAACGTAAATTTATTCTTACGTAATGAGGACGGCTTAAATTTCTTGTAAGAGCCGTAATTACTTTAGCCATAACCTACTTCCAAGTCCTATGGTATGGCTATAAAACAAGTAACAATTGCTAGTCTTTGAAATTAATACATTTATTCCTTGACTAAAGCTTTAGATTCGTACATTACAGTTAATATTTTTATGAAAATAATAAGGCAAAAAGAGAACTTAGATCAATATTGTTATAGAAATAGACCAGTCTTGTGAAACTTAGAACAAACATTATTTTGTATGGAGTTCGTAACATTCAGTGTACCAACATTCAGAAAAACGTTGAGGTACCAACACAACAAAACGAACTTGGTACTTAGTACTTCCGATAATTGACACAACATGGCTGCCGCCTTTGTGCAAATTTTTGTGTTGTGATTATTCTGTTTGTTTTTTCCTTTTTCCTTGTGATTTCGGGATTTAACCTAATAGAATAATTTATTTTATTGTGTGTTTAACGTTGAGTCGAGCAACTGTTCCTCCGTTTCATCTTTACGTGGTTTTATTGAGACATTGACTCTGTTAGTGTAAGTGATTCTTGTGAGATATTTGACTCTTTTATATTAATTTGTTATTATTACAACCTATTACCGAGACAGTGAC